ACCTTGTGATGGCTAAATCTTTATTTGATGCTTTTTCTCTTTCTCTTTTTTCTTTTCTAAGCAATTGCTAGTGGAAAAAATGCAGTGTCCCTGATCCCCTTGAAGAGCTCAAAACCCATTTGGCTATGCTAAGGTTTCAACAAATCATATTTAGATTGCTGACATTGTTTTCATGGAAACCAAATAAATTGGTGTTTCCTGGGTTTAAAAGATGTGTTCATCTGGTGTGTATTTCATGTAGGTTTTTTTTTCCCTTCCCTCCCCCAAAAATATTTTTGTGGTTACTTTGCTTTAGGCAGTAACCAGACAATGATCTATGTGCTGTGTTCTGCTTATAAAAGATACCTGCTCTGGTTTACTGGAGATGACCACACCAGCAGCTATTGGCCTACAACTAAATGACCAACTCTGCTGTAACCACGTCTTTGTAAAAAGAATGAAGTATAAAACTGGAGTTATTTCATTTCACAAATAGTGAAATGCAAAGTTGTAGGGGAAGCTGCTGTGGTAATGTCAGGCACCTTGATAGGAGTGAGGTTTCAGTGTTTTCTTGTACATTCATGATGAAGTGACTTGGCTCTCTCAGGGAGGATCACAAGGCTCCAGGAGACACAGGCTGGTTTGACTCAAACCTTTCTGAAAATGGAATAGTTGACAGTTATGAATAAGGTTACTTAACAGTCAACTTCCTGTGGTTTACATGCATTTCTGAATCAGGAGGAGGCTGAAGGGCCACAGCTGAGACATGTATATTCCATCTGAACAAAAAAAGAGCATCTTTCTCAAGCATTCAAAATGGGCTGCTTAAAAATCCACTGTCCTGATATAATTTAATAAAGTTTGAAACGGCCAAAGCAGCCTCCTGTGACACCAGCAGGTCTCTGAAGCTGATGTGTGGATTGTTCATTCTGCTGTATCAGGGTGTGCTCAAGAAGTTTGCTTGATTGCAGTACCTCAATATTCATTTGAGATGTGTGCCCATGCCTGTGTTGGATTTTGTCCTTGGATTGGCATCTTTGGGCTGTATTTGAAGTGCAGCAGAGAGGTGAGCAGGGATGAGTTGGGCTCCGTGGCATGGTTGGTTCCTGCAGTGTCACTGCTGGCCTTTAGAGATCTGCATTTCCAAACTGCTCAACAAATGACTTCAAAGGGTTCATCTGCCCTTAAAAGTGAAGGTTCACCTGTGACTGGTTTAAGATTATCACACAGAATGGTTTGGAGGGACACCTGCCATTATCCCAGGTTGCTCCAAGCCCTGTCCAACCTGGCCTTGAACATTCCAAAGTATGCAGCATCCACAGCTCTGGGCAACTTGTGCCAGTGCCACAGAATCCTCAAAATAAAGAATTTCTTCCTAACAACCAATCTAAACCTACTTTCTGTCAGTGTGAAGCCATTCCCCTTTGTCCTCTCACTCCAGACCCCTGTAAATAGTTTTTTCATTTTTCCTGTATGCTCCCTACAGGTACTGAAGGCCACAGTTGGTGACCCCAAAGCCTTTCCTTTTCCAGGCTGGGCATTCCCAATTCTCTGAGCCTTTCCTGGCAGGAGAGGTGCTCCATCTCTGTAATCAGCTTGGTGGCCTCCTCTGGACTCCCTCCAACAGGTCAAGGTCCTTCCTGTGCTGGGGGACATCACTGTATTTTTAGCTAATCTTCAAATTTCCGTCCTATGTACTCACAGAACGTGGGTGTGAAGACAACAGGAGTGTCATGGAGAACTGTGGGGGTTTTAATGGGGGCAGATCGTTCAGTTTCTCATTTCTGTCTAGATTTTGCCCTTGATGTGGCTCCTTTGTGGCATGACACCACAGATGGATTGCAGAGCCACGTGGCAGGGCTGGACATGGTGAGCCACACTGGCTTTAGTGGGACACAGTGGGGAAACCCAGTTTCTTTTTCCTAGTCATCTTGGGTAAACCAGAGAGTTTACAGTTTGTCAGAAGGGAGATTTTAGGTGACAGTTATTGAGTACAGCTATTTAAATATAGTCACTGTCATGGATTTACTGATTAGGGTCTGGTTCTCTTATCTACCAAAAAAGCAGCCAGCTTCTAGCTGGCTTTGTGGCTGTTGTTGTACTGGGATGTGAATGGTTCCTTTTCTAACTGATTTTTAAAAATAGGTGGCATTAAGGCTTTCCATTGTTGTTGTGTGCTGAGTTTTTCAGAGTGTTTCTCTTCATTATTGGATAAAATAAAAAATTTCACCCTTTGGGAAGAGATTGAAGCTTGGCTGCTTTGTAATGCTGCCTCTTTGAAGCTTGTTTAAATGGGTCAAAACTCTCTGGTTCTCCAGTAGTGCATTCTGATAACGATCTGTTCAGCAAGGTAGTTTGCTGTTCAAGACTGTCTGTAGTTAGCAGAGCTCAGCCTGCTGACAGCAACATGTCCAGGGCAGACAGAAAATTACCACTGGTCAGAGCCCTGGGTTGTGGCTCTGTGATATGGATGGGTGGCTGGAGTGGGATGGAAGAAGAGATGATGAGTTTGAAGCTGTTCTAAGTTTTTAATTGGTATGTAGATGAGTAAAAAACAGTGAATGAACAACTTTTGTCCATGGTTACAGAGCTGAGTCATTTCCACAGCACTTGCTGTCTGAACAGATTTTTATGAGGGGAGAGCCCAAGCAGCTGAGCCCATGGTGTGGAGGAGGGAAGCTGGAATGTCCCTGCCTAATGAGCTGGGTTATGTTGTAACTGATGGATTTAATACTTCGGTCTCTTCAGTTTCAGCATGGCCACCTTGATGTTTGTCTGCCACTGTCTCTGATAGGTGACAGCCCAGAAGTGGAGCTGGCACCTCAGTGTTCCCTGGCAGTGCCTTTGCTGCTGGATGCGTGGCTCTGGAGTGTCACTGTCACTGCAGGCCTGTGTATTTTGCATTTGTGATTTCAGGAAATCCCCTCTTTTGGAAGGCTGCTTGTGGGGATGTTTTGTGACCTTTCCAGGCTGTGGTTTGCTTGTCTGTTCCAGCTGCTCCATCCATTGCAGTAGCTGCAAGCCCTGGGACTTAAAGGAGAGGTAGTAACTTCCACATTAACAGCAGAGTTAATGCTTCTTTAGGGAGTAGCTATTGCTGTAAGTCATATAAAAAAGCTGTCTAAGATTAAAATGCATGTTTGTATGCACACACACACAAATTCAGCCTCTGAGGCCCAGGTATTCCAGACTAAATACCTGCACTTACTGAGTCTGAAATCTGTCTGATTGGTATGTAGCCAGCCCTGTGGGGAAGGGAAGATTGCCAGCTCCTATTGGCACCTAAAAAAGAAATTAAATCTGACCTTAAATTTTATTTTGCCTTAGTATTCGGCTACAGACAGTGGTTTTAGCACCTGGAAGGCCTGAATTCTGATCCTGTCACTCCTTCTTGGGTAGCTTGGTGGATTCATGCATCAGGGTTGTTAATTTTCTGTGGAATAGGAATGCGCTTGCCTGTACACCTTCCTTAGAGGATGAGGCTAGAATAGATTCTAGAAAAGATACAATGCTGCTATCATTGCAAGCAGTTGCTGCTGTGTGCTACTAAAATGGGGTTCCTGCTGCAGTTTGTCACTTCAGAGAAAACAGGACAGCTGAGCCAAACAGGAGGTAAAATAAGGTAGAAGAGGTGTTTTGGGCTCTCTCCCTGCAGGTGTGTCAAGCACGAGACATGTTCCAACCAGAGCCCCAGTCTTGCCTCATTAAACATTGATGTTCAAATTGCACACTTAAAGGTGTGGTATCCACTTGTATTATGTAACTTATTTTAGTGCCTGGAAAACTTGCAAAGGTACCTTGCTGATGTGTTTGCCAGAACCCTTTTTGGCCTCTTATTTACCCTGCTCTGCTCAAAGTAGGTGCTTAGCTGACACAGTTGAATAGTGAGGTTTATATTCTCGCTGGATAAAGTTTGCAGAGTTCAGATTGAAGGGAAGTCATTATCAGGGTGTAGCTCCTGTCCTAATTCACTTGTCTGGATTAGGTGTAGTCAGCCTGGCCTCAGATGCTGCTTGATTTTCTCATCAAGAAAGCTCAGTCAGAATTCTTGCTCTTCCACCTGCAGTGTGAAAACACAGATGGTTTCTTTCTGTACTTACTCTAAAATGAATAAGTTACAGCTGGTAATTAAGAGCTTCCAAAAGGAAGCAGATTTGGGCTTCTGTGAGGATGCTGAGAACCTTTAAAATGTGCTTTCCCCTGCAGTGAGTTCATCAGTACATTCCTATTGCAAGTGAACTCAGGTGCAGCAGAATCCATGGAAGAATTCCTCCTTAATCCCAGCTCCCTGATGGAGTTCTGCAGGGTTGACTGTGGTTCAGATTTACCATGAAACAGTCTTTAGTTCCGCATTACTGGAGGGATTAAAAACTGCAGCTACCCTTTGCCAGGACAGGGATGACTTGAATCCAGAAGATAAATCTGAATAGTGAATGTGATATCATGCACAGCAGCCTGGAGCTCTGCTCCTCAGCCAGAGTAAGATAGTCTGGTCCAGCTTGGTGTCTGATGGGAAACGTGTGTAAAATGTTTTGTCTGCTGTGGTTTCTCATCCTGTGTTCTGCTCATCACTCGCTGTGCTCCAGGGAAGTACCTGTGGGAATGAGTCCTGGGGCCCTGCAGTATAAATGAACCTTCTCTGGTGATTAATCCCTGTAGCTGAATGCCTGTGTGTGCACACTCTGCAAAGCCTCGGAGGAATTAAATGTTTCTTTTCATAACGAAGGTGTGGCTGCTCCATTGATGCTCCCTGTGGATAACACTTGGATTTATTTATCAAGTCTAAACTTGGAAAGAATGTGACTATTATAAATGTGCCTTTTATGCTTTTAAGCTTAAATATTAACTGGCCTAAGCATAAATCATCAGTTGTGTTCTTAGGATAGCTGCTTTTAAAAATGGCAGTGATTAAAGCTTACAACACTTACATGTAGGTTTCAATAAATTATCTGGACTTCAGAATGTAAACTATTGGGATCAAGGACGTCGCTTATTTAAATAACTCTTTGATTTGTTTTTAGGGGGAATCTGTAAAGTATTTCTTGGACAACTTGGATAAACTTGGAGAACAAGTAAGTCCTTTTTTATTTTTCTTTCCAGTCTTGAGTTTTAAGTAGTCTTTGTGATCTCTGGGTTTTAAATAGATGAAATGTAATTAGTGTCTACTCCAATAACTTTATCTTTAGTTAACTCGCACTGTCGCAGCATCTCAGCAGTTCATCACTGACATGTCAGAAGCATGGGGCAATGCAAAGGCCAGGAGACTTTCTGGAAATAAACCTTCTGTCAAAATTGAACAAAAAACAAGTTACAAATGTTTGGCCAAGCAGAGACTGTTAAGGTAGCTTTTCAACACTAAATGAAATCCAAAAAAGACTGGGTTTGAGGTTATGTGTCCAGCTAGGAACTCTGAGTTAAATCACTCACAGGTCAGTGGTACTTCCTAGGAATATCTACTTTAACATAAACTCAGTAAAGAGTAAAGTCTGTTTTTTCTGCAGAAAAACCTGAAAATTCTATAGAATAGTTTTTTAATAGAACTGTCAATTAGCACTTGAATAATAAAGGTATCTGCTGATGCTCATCAGTTGTGGATTGCAGGAATGGCAATGTGGAAAAACTGTCTTTAAAACAGGAGTTTTAATATGGTGCTTGAACTCTGTGGGGAGGCAGTTTCTCCATGGTCAATCCCAGCTGATGGTAACAAATGAAGGAATCCAAACCAATTCAGTGAAATCCTGTTACATTATGCTTAATTTAATTTTTCTTTTTAACAGATTAAATTTTAAGCCAGACTATTTTTCTGCTTTGGGCTGTCACTGTTTTAACTAAAGCACTGGTTGTCATTGTGCTTCCCAGATCTCTGGCTTGAAAACTCCAACACTTGACCTGTGAATTTGGGTTTGGTCTCGAGTTATAAGACTTGCACTTACTCTAATGAACTGCTGAACTCTCTGCCAGTGGTGGATTTCTCATGGTCTTTGAATCCAGTGCCTTTAAGTTTCAAAGGGTTGAATTTTTACCCAACAATATTTGATAGAGTTTTGCAGCTCCATTTTAAAGTTTTTCATGGAGAAACTTTGGTCCATTCTTTGATTAAACTGTGAAACCTAATCAGTAGTTGGATTTTTAAATATTTTTATACATGCACACACTTACTACAGGTCTTATGTTGCTGTGGGAGTGCTGTGAATTACAGCTTTTCTGGCTTCAAGTTGAACCAAATGGTGTTGAGAATCAGAAGAACTCATCAGGATCTGCTGTTGTAAAAAATGTCAAGTCTTTGAGGAAAAAAAACTAAGTTTTGTTACTGAAAGTTTTGATAGGTTTTCTGGTTTATTCTTATCTGTATTCAAGACTCTCTAATGACTGTTTCCCCAAATTGTAAATAAAAGTATTTGTTCTTATCTGATGCAACTGGGCCGACTTGCAACTAAATTGCTTCTAAACATATATATCTGCAATTGTCGTGCCTCTTGGCAAAAGGGAGCTGATAACAGCACTGAGGGAAAAGAACTTAATGTTCAGATTTAATCAGATCAGCAAAATAAGAGTATCTGACAGGCAGACATGCGTGGGATCTCCTGGATTCCTTGCAAATGTGTGTTGCTATTTCAACTGCCAGTGCAGACTGTATGTATCCAAAATACCTCCCAGACTTGGCTTTCCATCTTGTGATTGGATCTTAGTCATGCCTTAAATTGTAATTTGAACTAGGCAAACAGTGATGTGATAGCCAAAAGAGTTACTGATAACCAAAGGAACTCCTGTAGAAGAAGGAGGCTGCAGTGAATTTGAGGAAAGGAGATAGGAAAATCAGGAAGAAAGCACGTGTTCCAAATCAGTGTCAATGTGAGGATGCTTGAGGGGAAAAAAAACATTTATTGACAATGGTAAAACATTGAAAGAACTTGAAAAATAATACTCAGTGCCATCCAAGGAAAATACTCACCTGATGCTGTAGTCTTCAGACATGGAAAATGAGATCAGCACTGAGAAAGAGGCAAGCAGCTTGTATTCCAGGGATCTAGGCATGAGGGAGAAAACATAATTGTCCTTCAGAAAGATACCTGAAATACTGAGAGAGTTCCTGAGAGTTGTTGTGTTTAGTCTCCTGTAGCTAGATGGTGGCTACCAGCACTGAACTCACAGAGCCCTCATTTGCTGCCTGTTGGTTCAGAGTAGCCAATATCCATGGTAAAACATGGAATGGTTTGGGTTGGAAGAGACCCTAAAGATACCCAGTTCCATGGTAAGTCTTCTGTACAGGTAGAAGTAGGAAGCACTTGAAAGGATTTTCTTTGTGGCTGCAAGTGTGGAAGGAATTTTCAATGAGTAATAGTACTTGAGAGGGAATTTGTCAGGAATTCTGGGGATAAGATCCTTGTTCTTGAAAGCTCTACTGAACAAACATTACAGGCCAACTCCCAGGAGAGTTTGCTTTGTGCCCTTGTTTCAATATTAAAGGTGCATGTGGCTTTGTCTATTGTATTAGCTGGTTATATTTATTTATGTAATTTAATAATTTCAGTCACTCCTGACCTTTCCTAAGACGTTTTGGTTTTGTTCTGAGAAGTTGAGACTAACTTCCTGAAAAACAAAAGAATAAACATTCCTATTTTGAAGCTGGAATGAGTGTTGAACCTGTAGCACTTTGCCTACATGTTGACAGTCAGCTTTGCTAAAATCCCTTCACATGTGCCCAGTGACATTTCATACAGTCCCTGCACTGCTTGTGCTGATTGTTTTCCTCTCTCTAATTTCAGGAGAAAAGACCCAAGATATATTTAACAAAGGGAAAAAAGTCTTACCACCCTTTAAAGTTGTTCATTAATCAGGCAAGGAGGTGACAGCACCTCTTTTGGTCAGTTTGGAGGGAACTTGATGTTGCTTTAGCAGTTTTCTCCTCCAGATTTCAGTGCTGCAGCAAAGGCTGCAGGGTGGGGAGCCTGTGCTTCAGAGCTGCTTTGTAATTGGTGCCACGATAAAAATCAGTGCCTTAGTCATGGGCAGCTCGGGAAAAGGAACCTGGAGTTCAGACAAAGCCCTCTCTCTCTAGTTTCACTTTGGAACTTACAGGGTAAAGCAAAGTGAGCCCTTGAGTTTTTGGAATTTTGCACTCGCTTCATGAGTTTTAAATTCTATTTTTGTGGTTTGAACTTGCCTAGCTGCCTTAAACTTGGGATACAAGGACTGAAATAGCCACGGTGCTGTGTGCCTGTTCCACCACCCAGCTGACTGGTTGAATCAGACTTTCTGCACCATGGTCTTACTCATCTTTATAAAAGCTCCAAGTGTGGGAACTGGCACTGTCAAAGGAAGATTATAGATCATTCATTTTTTTACGGAGAGACTGAAATTCCAAAACCTAAATCGTGCTCTCTGAAATGGTGAGAAATGCTGGGAAAATGTGAGGAACAGTTTCCATCACAAGTGAATAACAAGGTTTTGAAGTCCAGCACAGGCAGCTGTGTGGTAGAAATGCACTTTGCAGATAACAGACTTGGACCATAGATAAAATGTAATTCTAGGAATGAAGAAATCCCCAATCCAGGTGTTGAATTTCGTGCTGTCAAAAGCTGACTAATAAGAATTCCTCTTCCTGTAGCATTTGCATCCTTTGATAATGTTCATGTAACAATTAAAAAAAAAAAACTCTCTTGAGTGTCTCTAGAATTCTGGGGAAGGGTGGGCTGGAGAACTTTGGGATACAGCTGTCTGTGTCCCCCAGGCTGGAAAGGCACTGCTGTCCCCAGCTCTCAGTTTCTACTCATTGCACAGTAAATTGTGGGCAAAGTCAGGCAGTGTGAGCTCACCAGCGTGCACTGATACAGCAGGATGCAAAGATGCATGGCACAAACACAGGAAGTTGCTTAGGTTTTAGTTTTCAGACATAATTGATTGCTTTAAAGTTATTTAGTGGAGCAGCTGGTTTTTTTCTGGAGGCAGTCATGCACAGGAGAGCACGGGAGGAATGGAGAGCCCACAGCTGGCATGGGATATCCCATAGTTGCTGATTTGAGAACCCATTTGCTGCATTGTAGTGTTGGGCAGTGTTGTGGGAAGAGAATGAAGGAGGCATGAAGTGATCCAGAATGAGGGAAACTGGCATGAGGAATTGCTGGTTCACCTCTGAGGTTGGTTATGGATCCTCGTCCTGTGGCAGAGGGAAAGCTTATGTTTTTTGGGGTGCTTGTTCTAATTTACTAATTTAATTAAATTGGATGTGTTTCCTGCTTTGAGTTCCAGCTCTTTCCCAAGAGCTCCAATGTTAGCATGGAAATCCACATCCATGTCTTTTAATTGAAAACCTTGTCCTGTTCCTGTGCAAGCTGCTCTCTCCACTGCAGCTCACCTCCATACCCATGATCATATCCTAATCAAACAACTCTCCTTATTTTTGTAGGATTACCTTCCCTCACAGCAAGACATCCTGCTGGCACGAAGGCCCACCAAAGGGATCCACGAGTACGACTTTGAAATCAAAAATGTCCCTTTCAAGATGGTCGACGTGGGCGGCCAGAGGTCGGAACGGAAGCGGTGGTTCGAGTGCTTCGACAGTGTCACATCGATATTGTTCCTCGTGTCCTCCAGTGAATTCGACCAAGTGCTCATGGAGGACCGGCAGACAAATCGCCTCACGGAGTCCCTGAACATTTTTGAAACAATAGTCAACAACCGGGTGTTCAGCAACGTCTCCATCATCCTCTTCTTAAACAAGACGGACTTGCTCGAGGAAAAAGTACAGAAAGTCAGCATCAAAGACTATTTCCCAGAGTTTGAAGGGGATCCCCACTGCTTAACAGATGTCCAAAAATTCCTGGTGGATTGTTTTCGCACGAAACGCCGGGACCAGCAGCAGAAGCCCCTGTACCACCACTTCACCACTGCTATTAACACAGAGAACATCCGGCTAGTGTTCCGTGATGTTAAGGATACCATCCTGCACGACAACCTCAAGCAGCTGATGTTACAGTGATGTGCAAAAAGACTGGTTTATTTCAGTAACTCTCGTGTGTTGGTTTTTTTTTTTTTTTAACTAGAAGTTTACAGCAGGAGTAGAGAAATCCAGATCCTGTCAGACTTCTTGATATGTGGCTAAAAGCTGCTGCTGAACACATTATTGCCAATTTCTGCAGAAATTCAGGCTTAATCTCTTCCAGTGTAGCTTCAAGTTGACTCAAGTTGTAATTTTATAGCAGACCTATGTCTAAGTTACCTGTAAAGTGGTAAATTTGACCTTTTACAAACATATGTATTATCCTAGAAAATCCAGAATTCCAAGTCAAAACTTCAATGAAATTGTTGCAATTATTAGACTGTGGCAGTAATTTAAGGTGAGGGGGAGGGAAGAGAGAAACCTTTCACATCTAACTTCATTGTAAAGACTGTGATACCATAGCTGACTTATGATTTCTCAGGTCTATTTTTGGTTAGAAATCCCATCAAATCCCTTGCTGGAATCATCTCTTTGAAGTGTGAGTTCCTGGGTGTAATGTACTTCCTGTGTAAGTACAAATCATGGCATTGGGTTGGACTAGGAGATGCTTTAAAAATCTGTAAAATCAGGAGTTTCAGACACATGTATCAGGAAGTGCTGAGTCCAGTGAGGAGGGATTAGTGGTTGGCACAGTACACGGATTCACTCCGGAGGCGTCCACACGTCCTGGAGCCATGGCAAAGCACAGAGCACTCTGATCAATCCTCTTGGCATGCTGGTGTGGGAAAGGGGGGAGCAAGCCCAGCTTGTGGTTTTTTATCTTCACTGTCCAGATGTTACCTGCAGGTAGCAGATGTTACCTGCGGGTCACCTGTTCTGGAAGCGCTTTAACTTAGCACTGGTTTATTTGAACTCCCTGCCTCCTTCCCAGGTGCCTCCTCTGAGTCAGGAGCGTTGGGTGATGGAGAGAAGGACTTGCAAACCTAAGTGCCTCCTTGTGTTCTGTTCTCCTCTGGCATTTTCAGTGGCCTTACAAATTCCCAGCAGAGGCCTTGTGTAGCTGACACCTTGCAGATGAATGTTTATTTCTGAAAAAACTTCAAGACTGTGTCCCAGCAGAATGTGCTTCAGGTGATGAGGTTCTTTCTGAGACTTTCCAGTTGGGTCTAAGCAATCCTAAGTGTACTTGAGCCAAATATGTTACACAGCATCTTCCAGAGTGCTGCCTGTGACTACTTTACCCAAAGTCTTTTTACAGTTTTGTTTAATTTTCTTTTGGGGAGTTGTTAGCGTTTCCATGTGATTAAAAAAAGAAATTATAATAATACTGAAAAATAATGAAAATAAAGCAATTCTGATGTGTAACCCAGAGCACACTGCAAAAAGAGAGTGAGATTGTGATACAAAAATGAGTGTCCCTACCGTGTTTCCCCCAGGCTGTGGTGTGGTGTGGGCAGTTCAGCTGCCACTTTACCCCGTGGAATTGGCCAGTTCCTGTGGATCATGCTGGTGGCCAATCCTTCAATACATTTTTCTTGTCATCCCACGAGCTGGGGGTGACGTGGTGTCACTGCTGGGAGCAGTGGCCCTGCCAGGACATAGGAAAGCTGCCTGTCTCCTGAACTTAGCCTTTACTTACTGTGATTGTAAGTTGTATTAACATCTCTGTACCTCGTTCTCCTGGCAGTGGAAGGGGAATAGTGTATTTTTATTTAGTTAGGTGCTTTGAAAGACCTCTATTTTTTTATCTCATCCAGTGAATAGTCATAGATTAGTCTGAGATTCTGGCTATCAGGCACTGTTTGGGGAGGAAAGAATTCTGAAAAGAGCTTGGGAGAAATCACAGTGCAGAGTCTAAATATTATCCTAAAGTCTGGATGCAGCACTGATGTCAGGAGGGTTAATGGAATCTTGGATGGGGATATTTAATGGAGATTTTGCCTCTACTGGATATGGATTATTTCTAATTTGGTGTATTTAGGTTATCTATGAGCAATTCAAGGAGGATGAAGCAGAGACCTCAGGAAAGGCTTGGGGAGGCTTTTCAAGGACTGAGTAACACACCTGTGATGGGAACAGAAGTTCTCCTTTGGGCTATCAATGCTCCCTGAGCAGGTACAAACCTCTGGTGGCCTCCAAGCCCTGTCTTGGAAAGCAGAAAACAAATCCACACCCTTGGTTGTCAACAGGAGGAGGAGTTGGGTTGGTTTCTCCTTTGCTGACAGTTGTCTGAACAAGGGTCTTTTCAAAACAGAGACTTACCTCTGATTAAAGGTTGATTTGGAGAGGTCTGCAGTGGGTACTTTGGAGGGGGTCAGACCAGATGATTGCAGAAAAGACTGAAGACTGGTAGTGGGTGATGGGGTGAGTACCAGGGATTTGTCTAAACTAATTTATGTGAAGTGTTGATGATTTTTTTTGTCAATGGAACCTGTTAATTTACTGAAGGTCCTCAAAACTGTCAGTGTGAGCATGTAGCCAGGATCACCAAGGCACTGGACACTTCTGACCTTAGCTAAAGTGGGGAAATCCTCAGCAGCTTCTCCCCAGAACCACCACAAAAATCCCTGTTGTGAATCCTTTCAGATCACTCTCCTGTGAACCCCAGGGCCTGTAAGAGAGCGAGGGGGACCCCAGTGCTGGGTCACTTGTAGGCTCTGGTAGATAAAGCACTATATGAATCTCAGGCAGAAATGAGTTGTTTTAATGAAATAACTGAGTCAGATCACTCGGGTTTCCCACTCCCAGTGTGTGAGAGGGGTGAGGCAATGCACCTGGATGTTCCTGTTTACATGGTTCCTGTGTTACCCTACAGCCAAAAACCCCAAATCAACGCCCTTGTCCATCTTCAGGCTTACTGTTCATGAACTCCCTGAATGGAGCACACCTTGGATTGTTGTGTTTCCTGTTAGATTTGTTTCTAAATATCATGTTTTTTATAGCAGGACATAAATCTGGTACAAGAGCTGAAGGGTTGATGCTCTGAATTGCTGAGTTTTGTCCTGAAACAACCAGAATTACAGTTTGCTGGTGAGAGTGAAGCTTCCTCATGGAAACCAGTCTGTGGTACAAGGCTGAGATGTATTCCAAGTGAAGGTGGGAAAGCAGATAGAAAGTGAAGTGTCCCAGAAAATCAAGTTTCCCAAAACTCCTTAGTTCTCTTTGCTGGAGTGTGTTCTAAAGATCACTGACTGTATGGAGATAAACCACTGTCCTGTACAAGCTGTACTTGAAGGTGAAATTGGTGTTTTAGTGCCTGTTCCCTGCTGCAGAGAGTTCAGCTGAGATGATTGATACCTAAAAACTGTGGCTGTTCATCAGGGCTTTCAAAATGTTACTCTTCTTTTGTCTATATATTGTACATGGGAGTATAAGCCATCAGTTTGTGTGAAACTTCAGCTTTCTTCTAGAATAACTGCTCTTAAAAAAAAAAAAAAAAGTCAAGTCGATCTCAAAGGCTGTTTGTGGATGGGGCTTGTTTGTGAGTAGCTTTAAATTCAGCATTATCCAGCAGAGTGATGGGGTTGGGGGTGTTCCTGGTGGGTCCCTCATGCCCATGACCAGAACACCCCCTGGCAGTTCCTCTTCCAGGCCGGTTGCAGAAGGTTCATTTTCCAGCACCACTCCTGTTCCACACCCTTGGCAATCTCCTGCCCTGCAAATCCTTCACCAGTTCACTTTACAGGTCTTGTCTCTCTGATGGTACCATTAACGTAGGTTTTAATTACACAGCATTGCAATACAGTGCCATTTTGCAATTTCTTTGCGTTGTACTTGAAAATGAGTTGAATTGCAGACTATTTAAAACTGCTTTCCTGCGCTTTCAGTAGCAGTGAGAGCTTACCTTATGTGAAGCCTTTATGTAAAAATATATTTTATAACAACCTCATAGACCTTTAACAAAACCAAGATTTGTATTAGCTTTGTATAAATGTTTGTGGCTTACAATTTTATATGTTTAACTTTTTATAAACTTTCCAGGGACTACTTTTTATTGTAAATTTTTTTTTTCTCTCCTTACTTTAGTTTAAGATTGGCAATAAATTATTTCTAAGGGAGGTCTTAGAAGAAAAAGCATCACTTCTTTTTTATAAAACGGTTAAATCAATTCATGATTTCAGACCTCTTACACTTGCTTGTACATTGCTCTGTACATACTCTCCAAAACTGTTGCCTTTCAGCTATTAATATTTGCCTTGTGTACAAAAATTACTGACGAATAAACATATACAGCCTCATGTTGGTGTGATGAAATAATCTTTTTTTCCTGTTTATTAACGAGCAGAGCTGACTTTTTTTGTTGGTTGGCAAAGCCCAGCTGGTTTGCTCCTGCAAACACATCTTGTGTTTCAAATAAAATATGTAACAGAGTCAAACAAACTCTGCTCAAAAGGCTCCTCCAGGTTCTGCTCGGCCTGGTGACTTTGTCCCCGGCAGGGAGGCACCAGGAAATTGCTGACTTGCACTTGACTGCCAGTTTTGTGCTCAATATTTAAAATATTGATGGCACTTGGGTGTGTTCTGCGACAAACCTCTATGAATAATGGATCTTGATACAGCAGAGTTGATTTTTTAGCTTTTTGACTAAGCCAGCCTCTGCCTCCTGGAGAAGAGGCTCGCTGGCTGCAGTATGAAGCAGAATTTTGCAGCAAAACATTGATTTCTCATCAGTTTTTATAGGCCTGAAATGCTTCATTTTCCACAAGAGCCTTTGGATTTGGCTGGCATGCTGTGGACACTAAATCCCCAGAAATACTCGGCCCAGGTCATCCTTGTTTATGGAGCTGAGCTCAGCGCTAGTGCTGGGCCTGCTAAGGAGCCCAGGAGCTGCAGGAATTCTCGGTGTGGGTGGTGATGTGGGTGAGTCGGAGCCTGGATGCTCTCAGAGCCACCTCTGATCACTGAAACCAGTTCAAAACCTGCCACATGTCCTGGAACTTAGCTCAGCTCCATGTGGTTTGGATTCCAGGTCCTGCCTATCGCTTTTCATTCTGGAAAAGTCACACCAGCTGAACACTGTGATGTTTCTCTGACTTTGAAATCCAGGGTTTTTTTGAAGCCTTATTTTCTTTTTTTTTTTTTTTTTGCATCCTATTTCCTGAGATGCCACCTGAGAAATAAAACCCAACCCATCTAGAACTCAGCTTAACAAGTTGTGTTGGGTTTTATAATCCAAATATCACAAGTGTAATTGCATTGCTTTCACCTGGGCTTCTGGTGGAGCTTTTGGGGACTGAAGCCTTGAGCAAACTTGTCTAGTGGAAGGTGTCCCTGCCCATGGCAGGGGGTTGGAACTGGATGGGTTTTAAGGTCCCTTCTGACAAACCATGCCATGATTCTGTGATAATTCTATGAAATTATTGATAACATATAACCAATAATTTCTTCTTGGGAATGGGTTAGTGGTGTTGGACCATCTTGGGCTCTGATCACCTCATCACGTTAAAGTGCTGGGGGCTGAAGTGGTGGGAAGAGCAGAGGTGGAAAAATGCACGTTCCAGGATTTATTTCCAGGAACAAGTGAAGTTTCTTCACGTTTGCAACACTTTAGATTTACCAAAACACCTCGTTGCAGTGCTGAGTGTAGGTTGGGTGTTCCAGCCTCTTCCTTCCTGTTAAAGTAACTCGGCGATTGCACAATAACTGACAGGAGGGATAAAAACTCAGTGGGGCTGTGCCCAAAGTGTCCCTGGCTGTCCCCTGGCAGCAGGAGCCGGGTTCAGAGCCGACCTTGGTCCCATTCCTTCCCGGGAGCAGAGGTGACCACGGAGGGCAAAGTGCTGAGGAGTGGCTGCCAGGAGAGACATCCCGCGGGGAATCCGGCTGGGAATGGGACAGGAACCTCCTCTGGCACCGACCCTGCTGGGTTTGCCTTTGGAACAGAGCAGGTGGTGGCAGGGAGGCTCTGCTGGCCCCTCCATCTGCTGCACTGACCACTGTGTTCTCCACCCCAGCTGAGCTGTTCCCACTGTATGTGAGATGGGATTACTCGATTAAATTGATAAGAAGGACCCAGATGGAAGGAGTCCCAGGAGGCTCTGCAGTGGTTTTATTTGTGCCTAACTTCAGATGCTCTTGGATTGCCTTTCTCTGCTTGCTTTCATGCACTTGAGAGGCAAGACATTGGTTCCAGCTGGAGCGCAGCTCCCACAAAGAGAGTTTTTCTGGGCTCTGGGGTCCCTGCTCACTGTCACAGCTGGAGCGGCTCCTGCTCCATGGCAGAGCCAGTGCTGAGTGAACAGGCAGCAGATGACTCGGGGATGAGGAATCCAAAGATCCCCAAAGAGATGCGAGGGGA